TTAGCATTTCCTATACACCATACAATTTTGAAAATATTTTGACTCTTTTTGAGCCGTTTACGGACATTTTCAGTTTTCAATTTTTTTAGTTTTTTTTTCTATAAATATTAATTAAGTTTTATCTGTTGGGCCAAAAAGTGTAAAAATTTAATACAAGGCTCCTGATATATTGTTACAATATCAGTTGAAAAATATTAAAAATACATAGGCACAATTTTTTTTTATAAGCATTTTAACATCGAATTTTGACAGAATTTTTCAAAATCTCGAAAATTATTAATCATCGTAATTAATAAATTATAAAATGTTCAGTTTTTATAGCTAAGGATTGAAAATTTAAAACAAGATTCCACGTAAGTAGTTAATTCTCTTACCGAAAAATCTAAAAAATATACAATCACAGTTTATTTTTATAGTCATTTTATGTTCAAATTTTGACGAAATTACATATTAAAAAACCTAGTTATTTTGTTGTGATTATATAATATTATTCGTTGGTACCTACTTGAAACTTCTAAAGTGTACTATTATATATATATGATAGTATCAGGGTTTGTTGTTGGTGTATAACGTGTTATTAGTACCTAATGGATATTGTGATAATGTGATATGATTAATTTGGAATTTATTATAGGTCAATTTTTTTTAATACCATAGATATGTATATAATTTGTCTTAACCTAGACTGACATACCGTCTTCGCTCAGAATCGTTTTTCTTATACAATGATATTGTATCATTGAATTCAAATTTAATAGCATCAATTATACAGTGACCCACTTGTAACCTACTGTACAGCAGAGCGACATCCACTTACCCACCTTTTTTTTATTTTATTTTTTATTTTTTTGTGTCTGTGTACACGATAAGTAGTCGAAATAATGCTTCGATTTTCGACTTCAGTATCTTGTTCGATTGGAAAGTGAATATCGTTGGTGCATTGGGGAGGTCAAAATTTAAATTTCCCAGTAGTTTTCAAGAGCGCCGGGAAAAACAAAAGAAAAATTAAGGAAAAACGGGAATTTTTACGCAAAATCGATTTTTCAGAAAATTGAATTTGGTTTTTGGTGTAACTTTAAAACAAATGACCGTAGGTACATGCAATTTTCACTGGTTGTTTATATTTGCATCTTCTATACACGATAACATTTTCAAAAAATTTTGATTTATTTTGAACATTTTAGGGACATTTTCATTTTTAGTTTTTTTTTTGTTTTTTTTCTAGAAATATCAATAAAATTTTATTTGTTGGTTGCGAAAGCTTGAAAATTTAATAGAAGGCTCCTAATATATTGTTTCAAGGGCAGATGAAAAATATTAAAAATCCTTAGTCACAATTTTTTTTTATAAGCATTTAAAGTTCAAAAATTGACAAAATATGGAAAAATCACGAAAATTAGCAAATTATTTTGAGTTAAGAATTCGTAAAAATTTTTCTTTTTAAATCTAAGATTTGAAAATCTAATACAAGATTACTCATAAGATTGTCTACCTTTATCAATAAAAAAATCTCTACCGGAAAGTCAAATTAAATTTTTATGAGCGTTTGAAATTCAAATTTGTACAACATTGGATATTCACTCGATTTCTCATGTGGCAATTTCCTTTTTTGTTGTAATTAAAAAATGAATTACTGTAGATACATGAAAATTTCACTGAATGTTTATATTAGCATTTCCTATACACCATACAATTTTGAAAATATTTTGACTCTTTTTGAGCCGTTTACGGACATTTTCAGTTTTCAATTTTTTTAGTTTTTTTTTCTATAAATATTAATTAAGTTTTATCTGTTGGGCCAAAAAGTGTAAAAATTTAATACAAGGCTCCTGATATATTGTTACAATATCAGTTGAAAAATATTAAAAATACATAGGCACAATTTTTTTTTATAAGCATTTTAACATCGAATTTTGACAGAATTTTTCAAAATCTCGAAAATTATTAATCATCGTAATTAATAAATTATAAAATGTTCAGTTTTTATAGCTAAGGATTGAAAATTTAAAACAAGATTCCACGTAAGTAGTTAATTCTCTTACCGAAAAATCTAAAAAATATACAATCACAGTTTATTTTTATAGTCATTTTATGTTCAAATTTTGACGAAATTACATATTAAAAAACCTAGTTATTTTGTTGTGATTATATAATATTATTCGTTGGTACCTACTTGAAACTTCTAAAGTGTACTATTATATATATATGATAGTATCAGGGTTTGTTGTTGGTGTATAACGTGTTATTAGTACCTAATGGATATTGTGATAATGTGATATGATTAATTTGGAATTTATTATAGGTCAATTTTTTTTAATACCATAGATATGTATATAATTTGTCTTAACCTAGACTGACATACCGTCTTCGCTCAGAATCGTTTTTCTTATACAATGATATTGTATCATTGAATTCAAATTTAATAGCATCAATTATACAGTGACCCACTTGTAACCTACTGTACAGCAGAGCGACATCCACTTACCCACCTTTTTTTTATTTTATTTTTTATTTTTTTTGTGTCTGTGTACACGATAAGTAGTCGAAATAATGCTTCGATTTTCGACTTCAGTATCTTGTTCGATTGGAAAGTGAATATCGTTGGTGCATTGGGGAGGTCAAAATTTAAATTTCCCAGTAGTTTTCAAGAGCGCCGGGAAAAACAAAAGAAAAATTAAGGAAAAACGGGAATTTTTACGCAAAATCGATTTTTCAGAAAATTGAATTTGGTTTTTGGTGTAACTTTAAAACAAATGACCGTAGGTACATGCAATTTTCACTGGTTGTTTATATTTGCATCTTCTATACACGATAACATTTTCAAAAAATTTTGATTTATTTTGAACATTTTAGGGACATTTTCATTTTTAGTTTTTTTTTTGTTTTTTTCTAGAAATATCAATAAAATTTTATTTGTTGGTTGCGAAAGCTTGAAAATTTAATAGAAGGCTCCTAATATATTGTTTCAAGGGCAGATGAAAAATATTAAAAATCCTTAGTCACAATTTTTTTTTATAAGCATTTAAAGTTCAAAAATTGACAAAATATGGAAAAATCACGAAAATTAGCAAATTATTTTGAGTTAAGAATTCGTAAAAATTTTTCTTTTTAAATCTAAGATTTGAAAATCTAATACAAGATTACTCATAAGATTGTCTACCTTTATCAATAAAAAAATCTCTACCGGAAAGTCAAATTAAATTTTTATGAGCGTTTGAAATTCAAATTTTTACAACATTGGATATTCACTCGATTTCTCATGTGGCAATTTCCTTTTTTTGTTGTAATTAAAAAACGAATTACTGTAGATACATGAAAATTTCACTGAATGTTTATATTAGCATTTTCTATACACCATACAATTTTGAAAATATTTTGACTCTTTTTGAGCCGTTTACGGACATTTTCAGTTTTCAATTTTTTTAGTTTTTTTTTTCTATAAATATTAATTAAGTTTTATCTGTTGGGCCAAAAAGTGTAAAAATTTAATACAAGGCTCCTGATATATTGTTACAATATCAGTTGAAAAATATTAAAAATACATAGGCACAATTTTTTTTTATAAGCATTTTAACATCGAATTTTGACAGAATTTTTCAAAATCTCGAAAATTATTAATCATCGTAATTAATAAATTATAAAATGTTCAGTTTTTATAGCTAAGGATTGAAAATTTAAAACAAGATTCCACGTAAGTAGTTAATTCTCTTACCGAAAAATCTAAAAAATATACAATCACAGTTTATTTTTATAGTCATTTTATGTTCAAATTTTGACGAAATTACATATTAAAAAACCTAGTTATTTTGTTGTGATTATATAATATTATTCGTGGGTACCTACTTGAAACTTCTAAAGTGTACTATTATATATATATGATAGTACCAGGGTTTGTTGTTGGTGTATAACGTGTTATTAGTACCTAATGGATATTGTGATAATGTGATATGATTAATTTGGAATTTATTATAGGTCAATTTTTTTTAATACCATAGATATGTATATAATTTGTCTTAACCTAGACTGACATACCGTCTTCGCTCAGAATCGTTTTTCTTATACAATGATATTGTATCATTGAATTCAAATTTAATAGCATCAATTATACAGTGACCCACTTGTAACCTACTGTACAGCAGAGCGACATCCACTTACCCACCTTTTTATTTTTGTAAACAATAAACACTTTAACTGCTATCATTGAATATCTATACTGATTCGAGAAAATGTAAAAAGAAACTATGTAGCGCCTCATGACAAATAATTTAACGTATTAAATTCAGAAAAACATTCCATTATAGGTATCAATTAAATTTAATTCCATATGTTATATTATAACATAATAACACTTTTTTGCGTTTAACATTTTATTTGAATTCGAAAACACAGATTTTTTGATTACCTACATGTTTTAAAATATGTTCCATTACAATACTCATTATTCTTATTGCAGTATACTCTTTACGATTTTCTATCGAAACTTGTTATTAAAAAGATTTTTTGCAACCGAAATTTCCGGTTATAGTGCACTTTTGTCAATATGAACCCAGAAGGCTGAAAATACAATAATACAAATACAATCGTATCACATTCGTATTAATTTATGTAAAATAAATGACCTTATAAATATCGATTTAAAGATTATTATTTTATTGATTCGCTTTTTTTTTAGTCAAGATTAATTAAGTTGTCGACTTACCATGTGTCAACAGTTCAATACCTGTCTGCAGAGACTTACAAATAAACATTTGGTTTTCCTATTCATTAACATACTGTTAATCTCTTGAAAATATGTATGATGTAATCCACATTCTATATAATGGCCGTGTTCTACACTGTTACTCGATATTAGCTATAATCGACTTAAAAATACCAAAAACCTCACTACCTCAGTTTAATTTTTTAACTCGAGTGAGGCTAAATTCAAAAATGTGGGACGGGAAAAAATAACAATAGTCCGTTTATTCCTACTAAAATCCGTCGAAACGTCGAATCCTCAGGCTTTGCAATTCACCGTCTCGTCGTGGAACGGTTCGTCGGAACTGATGCAGTGCAATATCCGGATCATACCTCTGATGGACACAGACATTCAACTGTCAACCGTGTCGTTCACGCTGTCCACGCTGCTGTTTTTCTTGCTGCCAATGACAGTGATCACTGTACTTTACGCACTCATCGGACTTCGCCTCCGTCGCTCCGACAAGTTGAAACGCACCATCACGGTGCGATCGACCCACGGGGAGAAAAAAATGTCGTCGCCCGAGTACAGGGCCAACTCGTCGCCTAAAGTCCTCAAAATGCTAGGTAAGTGCTATGTATTATTCCAAGTTCTAATATACCTCGATACATATACCTTTAGTACCTACCACAAATTTATTTTATGTCATACACTTAAATACATATACATGTATTAGATAATATAACTATATAAGTAGCATTTACCGGTATTTGTCTTATTGTTGTGTTGTCGTTTGTATCTATAAAATATTTTTAGATTAAAATATTATCTCAGATTGTACAGTGTACCACTCAAAATCATACAAAAGACAAAAAATGTTTGCACGCCTTTGTACTTTATGCATTCCTAAGCCGTCCATCCGATGATTGCGATGAAATTTGATATAAAAATGTTGTCGAATGGTTGATTAATAAATATTTTCAACTTAATAGTAAAATAAAAACAGTACTAGAATATTTCAGGTAGTATAATCCTATAATATGGTCACAATATGCCATTGATAGCAATTATAGGTAGTTAGTTCTAATTCTACATGGATTTTAAATTCTAACCTAGTTTTGAGGCTGATACAAGTTATGTTGCGAAAGTGTATTTGTTATTTAGTTAATTTAACATTGTTTTGCAGTATAATTTATTGCAATGTAAATTATGTTATCTACACGTGTTTTGTTTATTCACGTTTTTAATATGTGAATTTGCCCGTTTGGCTGTTCATAAACAAATAGTAATAAATAATAATAATTGATTTTAAAACAATTGTCGTACACGCCAATAACTTCCCACCCATATATATATATTATATGTATACTAATAAAGGCACTCACAATTAAGAGATAATAATATATTATGTTTTGTTCTACAGTAACCGCATCCAGAGATCACAGCTGAAGAGCTCCCTTTGTCCACTTCTGTCTCTTATGTATTAAAGCTTAACCTAGTTTTCTTTTTTAAAACATAATTTTTTAAAGACTACTTTAAAAACTTACTGGCTAAGAACTACTGACTAAGACTTAATGTGACAAAGAATTTCAAAAACGATTCCCATAGAAATAATTAAACAAGATTGCTAATTGTTTTATATTTTATATCGGAACGAAATTCGTTTGCAGTTGGAAATACTTTCTTACCAATAGATAGGCGCCATAACAATACCTATATATTAATCTAAAATAATTTTAAAATTTTAGACGATATTTATTACGCCAACATAATATATACACGATATTCTGTCAAGCTGTTTCCAGTGTGGCTATCTTTTTGTTTTTTTTTCATTAAGCATTTTATATCGATCTGTGCTACGGTATAAAAACGGTTTCATCATCATTGGGTTTCTTTTATTGTTAAGATTAATTACGATAAATTGTATAGAGTTAAATTTTAGTGTTTTTTTTAATAAGACTTCTAATGGCCACTATAATTTGGCCTTTATTAACAGTTTTTAACTACCTACTGTGAATGTTATGTCTAAGACGTTTTATTTGTTCGTAGTCGTATAAATGTAGGTATTAATGTACTATTTGTTAACTTATAAGTGTTTTTCATATTAACACGTCATACGTTATAAATGTACAAGTAATTTAATTAATTAATTACATTTTTACAGTAGGTAACTCATTTTTTGGCCTAGTTTTTGGATACAAATATATTTAAACATTAACAACGAGTAATGTAATGATCTTTCTAAAACCAAGTTATTGTAATATCAATTTATAGATTATAATAATGATTTTTTTAGAAAAATTAAAATACAAAAAGTATAAAACAAATTTTTTGAATTGTACCCATTACATTCATATTAAAACTATTTATTCAATATTTGATATTATTATACATCAATATTTATAGAAAAGTATTCTGAATTCTAATAGGTATATGGAATTGAAAAACATTTGAAACAACCCGTACGAAACCAATACAGAAATAAAAGTTTTATTTTCATTTTTTTTTTAAAAATGTAGTAAACAATATACTAGAATACTTCAAACTATATAAAATATTTTTTGTAAATAAACAAAATAAACAGAAAATTAACATAGCCTTAAAAAATATATGTTACTCGCTATTACTACATTCACTACATATTTTATACCCACGCATTAGCATAACAAAACATGCTGAACCTGAACTCTGAAGAATATCCAATATAATAAAATTATAATAAAATTTAGGAATTTAAAATATATTCTAATATATTCTTTAATACATCCTAAGTACAAATTTAACTGAATGTGACCTTTAGGTATAGAATTCTAAATTGACAATTATTCAAATACTATCACAATATTATACAAAGGCGTGTTTCAATTAAAAAAATTATCACATTGATGAATCATTATTTTAGGTATTTTAGTACCTATGTTAGATTAGTTAAGATAGTTAAATAAAATTTAGGAATTATAATTATTTTCTATAGGCTATTATATTATATTTCATTTACAACAACTACCTATAGGCTTAAATTAGATTTGTTTAATATTATTCATACTATAGTATTAGAAGAATGTAATTATTATATTTCAAATTATTTTTTTCTTGTATTTATTAATTGGTGATTAATTAGTACGCAAATAACACAAATAATATTTTTAAAACGTGTCATTTTTATTGTATGGTCAATAAATTATTATAAAATATCTAACAAATATTTGAAGAGTTTATTAAATTTTGATTAGATATTTGAATATTTTAACAATTATTATTGATAAAACACAATAATAGTGTATAGTAGATAAACGCATTACAATTAGTGAACACTTAAGAGTGTAAACATCAAACCATCAACTACTGTGATTTTCATCTTACAATTTAAATTATTGTTATTATTATTAAATGAAGGGTTTAAAGGGGGAAGGTGTAGTCCTTTCGTATTGATTTTAATTTTATGATGTGATTTGATAGCACGTTTAGAGTAATATTCAGTGTTGAAATCGATTCAGTGAACCTTTCAGTCCACTTTCCTTTAAGGGAAAAGTTAAGTATAGTGATGAAAAAAAATTTTACTCCATGCGGTTGTAAGTAAAACAGGTTAATGTCGAATTCAGAAATATCTTTTTATTTAAAAAAAAAAAAAAGAATAAAGATTGAATTCTATATTTTTTTGTTTTGAAATATTTTTCTTTTCATAATAGCTAGTCATTACAATTTTTAATTTATTTCAATTACTTTTCAAAGTTAAAACATGTTACTTAAATAATAGCTCATAAAAGGTGTTTTATTGTTTAAAAATTAGATGGTTAGAAGCGTAAAACTCTATAAACTTTGTTTTTACTTTCCTGAAAAATGTACAGAAATGAACTATTACAGTTTTTACCCTGTACTTACCCTTCAAATGATAATATTCATTAGATTATTAAAATACGTTAATAATATTAATACTAATTGTATTTAATTAGTTTGACATTTCATAATCTTCGATATCAATGAGGGTAGAAATTTAATTATATTAATACTAAATAATTATAATGAAAAAAAACATTTCTACTTAAAATGTATATTTTATGTGTTGACATTTTATGTGGTGCACAAAGTACATAAATCTTACGGGTCAATTTTGAAACTAATTGTTACTATAAAACAACGGATATTGTCAAAATAAAGTGTTTTCGGTGTTAAGAAAGGACTTAATGTAATTTTATTAAGACTAATAAAACGTTGAACGATCTTATTTTTAATTAGTTTATAGATTTACTTTTTTTAATATTAAGTAGGTAGGTACGTACTATGTAGGTACATTTAATGTTGTAACATTTTTGAGTACTAGTATTTAAACACTTCGAGTATTCATTGTAATTACTGATTTTTTTTTTAATTACTCTTGAGTATTTTTATTTAAGTAGGGGGAATTCAAATAGAGTACATCATGCGATATTAATAATATCGAATACAGGTATAATTGAATACTTTTCTATTTATTTAGTAGGCAAAGTATTTCTATACTGAGATCACTTGGATTTCAAAAAAAACAGATAACAATTTAGTAGGTGAACGGTGTTCAGCTAACTTTGGTTAGAATTTCATACTTTGTAACAATGAATTTTTATAAATTTGTAATACGTTGAATCTTGTTGTCTAATACACTTCATTATATTATTCATTATATTACAGAATGGACAACTCGTTCATATTCCACAACTATTACCTAGTTAAATCGTTAAAGTAGCTTAAAATTACAATCCTTCTTGAATTAAAAACATATATATATATATTATTATAGTTTACACATTCACACTCTATATAGGTACTACTTTAATAAATAAAAAATCGCGTGCAAGAAATGATACTTTTTTCGTAGTTTTTAGTTATTTAGCTTTTCTGAAAATGAACAATCTCGCAGCTCGCAGCAAGGAATTGTATAAATTGATAGGATTTTGGGATCAAGTTCATATGATACAAAAAATAATTTGTTTGATTCTTTTTATTTATTCTATTTATTTTATTTACTTTCATTTAATTTTAGATTTATTATTTTAGACATTATTTTTTATTAATTTTCATATAAAAATCAAATTACCATTGTAATCATTACATGTTTATTATTAATTTAACTAACTTACAGTATATATTAAAACGATATATACTTATAATATACCTATACATATACATATATATGATATTATGATAATAATAATAATAATAATAATAATAATCGAATTTATAAGAATTATATTTTATTTATTTTTCGTTTGCATAATTTTATTATTACACATTTTTGGGGCGTTGAACAAATTTTGCAAGTTTCAGTTCAACATTTAAATATTGCAGTGCCAATTATTGTAGTATACTTAGTTAACAACTTTTTTACGAAGGTATAGGTACCTTAGGTATTTTATCTTGTTTAAATTCAGTCGTCTACGAAGGAAAACAAAAACTTTTATTATTACGAGCTTACAAATAAATATATTGCCAATACAATCATAGCAACATTATGTGTGAAGAATATTTCATGAGTAGATTTTCAACCCTATATATATAATATATCACATAAATAATTAGACACATCTAGAAATCCTCGTCCCTAAGATGGAAAAAATATACCACAACAAAAATAGTTTTTTTTTATTTCTTAAAATATTCCCATTTCCCATGCATACCTACTTGTTGTTGATAATAGTTTGAAAATTATAATAGTTACAATAATAAACTATCTTAAAATTAAAATACAATACAAAAAAACTATACGAAAAAATTAAAGAAAAGCTTGAATGGAACGGTGAGGTTTATAGTAGGTCTATAAAAATATGTTTATATTAATTTTATACCTAGTACCTACACTCAATTTATCTGTGAAATGTTATAGACTTATATGTTGTAGTGACCGGTGGGTGCATATAATATTATAATGCAAATCGTCAAGTACAATTTGTTTAAGCCATCTGTCCACTTTATCATGATGGTTAGACCACTTAGACATTTCTATAATCATATTCCAAGCCTAAATAGGTCTTTCTAACTGTTTTTCGATATTTCTTTCGAAAACAGCAAAATCTTATACTAATATAATATAATATGTACCTCTGTTGTATAACATGCTAATACCTATACATAATATGTGCTTCTGTTGCAACAGAATTATATGCTATGAGAAAAAATACTGTTTAAATTATAAATCAAACGAGAACAGTAATATTAATCGTTTTATAATTTTCAGTGGCCGTTGTGGTGGCATTTTTTATCTGCTGGGCTCCCTTTCACGCGCAAAGGCTTATCGCCATATTCGGGTCCAGTCACGCATCGTCCGGTAACTTGGACGTGGAGGACATACCGTTTCTCCATCAGCTGTACGGCATTTCCACTTACATCTCCGGCGTGCTCTACTACGTGTCCACCACCATCAATCCAATACTGTACCATATCATGTCACTGAAGTTCCGTGGAGCTTTCAAGGTATGTAGGTATAGTTACCAACGTTACCTGGACACCGGTCCTCGACGTGGGATCCGTGTGTATTATGATATAATTTATTATAGACTGATGAGTGATGCTAAGAGTATATAATATTGGCTATACCTATGTTAAGTATACCCATACCTATATATTATATTATATTACAAATTAATAGTTACTTTAGTGGGAAACATAGTAGTATAATGAGGTTATTATAAAAAATAAATACATAAATACAACTATGTATTATCTGCCATTATTACCTATCTAATAAACTAGTAATTCATTTTAGTTGCTAAAGTATAATGATTAATGAAACAATTAATTATTATAGTTCTACCAACTAAAATAATAATTTCATTGCACCTAATATCAGTACCTATATATTGTGTAATATAAACTCATTGCTAATATTTACAATATTTTACTAACTTATGAAAAATTTACATTAAAACAAAAAATAAATAAAATTCGTAATAAAAAGGTGCTGTAGGTTACAAGTGCGTCACTGTCTAATGGATGGTATTAAATTTGAATTCAATGATAAGAAAAACAATTCAGTGTATAAGAAAAACGATTCTGAGCGGAGACGGTATAATGTCAGTCTAGGTATAAGACATACTATATACTTATCTATGGTATTAAAAAAAAATTGAAGGGAGACAGCAATGGGCATACTACCCTCCTGTCCACAATTCAAAACTTAGAGAAAAAATAGGTAACTACCACTTACCAGTGCGCTATATGCTACTGCCATTGTTATACTCTTTATTAGGTCTAGTTAACTAAACCTTATTCCTACGGCACAGCATACAATAGGAGTAGAAATTTAGTATTTTGACAATATTAAATAATATTTTACAATTCGGTATTTTGGGAGCTTATAAAACACAATCGCCATATTTAAATATTTAAATTTCGATTGTTGTTGCATATTCCGCATTATAATGTTCAGGAAACACGCAATAATTGTTCCCGAAAATTCAATCATCTAAAAAAAAATTATAGACAAAAGTTTTGGGACTCTGTTAATGTTTTTTTTTGTTTAAACCATCTGAGTAATGCATCTCAAGACAATACCACTATTGTATACCTTTCACGGGTCGTACTTTTTAACTATTCCCGTATTAAACGGATGAAAACTCCCATTTATTAAGTTGTTTTTGATCCATTGTTATTTGTTGTAGTTGTGTTTTGTATATGATTTCAAATGTGGACTGTAGGTAAATATTTTAATAAGTTATAAGTTTATAATCAATAGAACGGATACCAGTCGAACGCATTTTCTCTCTCTAAATACCACCTAATATAAAACCATTAGCTCTGTCCTCTGCATTTGTTTATATAAAATAAAAACCTAAAACCAATAACTCAGAGTCAATTAATGGTTTAAACTTAATACCAATTTTTTATGGTACCATGATTAATATTATTCTTATAATACGGAATATTCAATGAATATATTAATAGATAAGGCCTTTTTGTTTCAGATTCTATCAAGCGCGTAGGATGTAGGTATTTGATGTTTAAATATTCTTTTTTTCTTTTAACATCAAACATGTGCCTTTTTTACTAAAATAAATTAAAACAGTTTACCATCGGTTTTCACGCAATAAACAAATATATTAGGTACGGTGCACAAAATTGTAGGACTTGATGACGTGAGAGAAGGGTGCCTCCAACGATAATTCAAAGGTTCGAACTCTGTTGTGGCCGGGATGGGGTTAATTCAAATAATTTTTGCCATTGAGATAATATGTATAATAAACAATTTAACATATATTTTATCTTAGAGACCTGTGAACCGAATTATACATCCTACCATAGTTTTTTTCTAAATATTATGATTTATAACATACTATTATAATGTACCTATATTATGATATGTTTAGAATTCAATCGTTATAACGTTAAACAATGAGTCTTTAAAAGTGAAAACATTTATAAAAAAAAAATGTTAAAGTAGTATATTTTGCACGTATTTAAATATATAAAGCTATGATTATTATTATTATGTTTATCCCAGTTATTCTTTTGTTAAATGTATAGTTTATTGTTTCTTACACAGTTACACCTTAAAATTATACAACATAATACAATAATACAATTACTATTTAAAACTTAGTCAACAACTTTTTTTTAAAGGTATAACATTTTAAGCATTTATAAGTTATAACCTACCAGTAATAAGTAGGTAACTCATGACTCCATTCAGAATCGTTTCTTCTAGTTATTTATCAAATAATGATGAATTGTTTGAATGTACATTTTACTTAAACAGCTATAGTAAAATCTAATAATGTATTTTCACTTTAAAACGATTAAATATAAAAGCTTTTTTGGTAATAAAAACAAATCCTAAATAGTGAATCAATTTTAAAAACAAATGGCGAATACAGAGTGTTGTTGTTTTAATTTGAATTAATCGATAACTCGTAATATTTTAATGCGAGAATTTTTGAATTCTCGTTACAGATTTTAAAACCTTGAAGAGGTAGTTAAAATGTTCTCTTCTAATTGCATATCCATATGCAATATTGCAATAATCAATTGATAAGTATTAAGTAGGTACGACCATATAGGTTAAGATTTTAAATAGAAAACTGTTATCAGGCGCGGACCCAGAAGATTTTAACAGGGGGTGCTCCAACAAAAAAAGGTTAGCAAGTCTCTCAAGTGTCTCTCTGCTGTAGAGTAGGTTACAATTGGATCACTGTAGTCTATAATGGATGGTATTAAATTTGAATTCAATGATATAAATTCATTATAGGTATAAGAAAAAACATTCTGAGCGAAGACAGTCAGGCTATAATATTACTACGTATATTTGATGATATTTTTGTGAATAAAGTTATTTTTTTTACCTATTTACATGGAAGTTTGTTTTAAATTGTCAATCCTTCGCTATAAAAACTAAACATTTTATACATTTTTAACAACAAAATAATTTTAAAATTTAAAATTAGATATATATTATGTTGTCAAAATTTGAAGTTTAAATGCTTATAAAAAAATTTTCAACTGGTAAAGTAAAAATATAGGAGGAGCCTTGTATTAAATGTTGACGCATTTTGACCCAATAAATGACATTTTATTGACAATTAAAGAAAAAAAAAATTTTAAATGTCCGTAAACAGCTCAAAACAGGTCAAAATATTTTGTAAATTTTATATTTTGTATTTTTTATTAACATAATATACACCCACTAAATATATTTTGTAATTTTATTTAGTTATTTAGTTTTTTTGCATATTTTTAAATTTTTGAGTGCATAAATATGTGCATGTTTCTTCTATGTAATTGGGCACGTCCCGTATTTCAATTAATAAATAAATAATTGTTGTGGAACAACAAATTGTGAACAATAGTATAATCTAAATATTGGCAATATAGAATATTGGGGGGTGTGGGGAAGAGGACCCCACGACTAGGTATGTGAGATATTCATAATATTATATAGCACCCCCAAGATTTTAACTCTAGTTGCGCCACTGCGTATTTCGTATTGGTACTACGAGTAGCCAGTATAGGTCCTACTCATAAAATATGTAGATACCTATTTTTGATAACATTACTATCGTCTATTTGATAACTTTTATTATTATTTATTATTATAACTGTACATCATTACATCGTCCAGTAAACCCAAGTAAATTAAACACACGTGTCAAGCGCCCGCTTTATTTATTTTCGTCGTTCACGTAAAATCAATATTTAAATAAAAAAATCCTACTCAAATATATAATTATATAGTTAAATTCTTAAATTCCTCGCTCTCAATTCTATTATCTGTAGTTGCACAAAACAAAAACTTTAAACGTGTAATTTTCAAGGATCCGACTAATATTTAAATTTCTTTTTTTATATATTTTACATGCGTAACCATGTTTTTTGGCTTTAGTCATAAAATATATGTAACACTGGTTATAACTGAATAAATAAATCTGGAAAATTGAGACGACCAATAAAATTAAATGTCTCGTCGGCAACCTGACCATGAATGCTGAATATATTTAAATTAACTGTACCTAACTCATGTTACATAATAATATAGTATTCTTCAAATGGCTTAGGTTAAATTGCCCAAACCTACTCATATTCAGCCACGAAAAAATAGTTATTTGGTGAAAGCAGTAAAAGTAATACATGAATAATGTTTATTGGTAAATATTTTTTATGCTATATTATTTTGTTATTAATTAACCTGCTGTAACTTAGGCCATTGGGTGGTTTTTTTTGCTGTGGGTGAGGGTACTGAAAGTTGAAACACGTGTGTTTTGGTTTGGCAGATTTTTTTGTGGGCATCCGTGGGTATCTGCCATGTCCGGGTGGGGGATGGCGGTATTTCTGTCCGGACACCGTGCCTCCCGCGGCCGGAATCGAACCGGCGTAGGTGTGCGTCGCATCCGAAGCCTTAATCGGCCACTCCGTCCCCCGCTATAATATTATACGAATAATAATACAAACATAATTAAAAATAACACAAAAATCATAATTTTATATATTTTTTTTACCAACATAATGTAATAAGAAATTATGAAAGAGTTTAAGCTGATTATGAAACGAAATATAAACTTCAAAATATTTCAAATGTACTGGCAGTGTTTTATCTTTTACCATAACTTACGAAATAAAATCTCTTACCTGAGTTTAAAATACTATATTTCTATACATACGTTTTTAAATAGAAACTCAACTTTTAATATTTTTGTTATAAGTGTTGTTGAAATCTTCTTTATACTATTAAGGATCATTTTCACTATTAGTCGTATAATTTTAATTTGCTACGTTAATATTACAGGCTACAATAACATCAAGAATAAATTATCCCCTTCAGTACCTATGACGTATAACACATCACTATAATTATAAATTAATAATATTATTGTAATATATACGCTCAACATGCTTATTACAAGACAGTAATATAGTTATAGATTACCTATTGGTCCGTGTTTTTTTTAATCGTAAATCATTTAACATATTATTAATATGAAAAA